TCCCAAAACGATTCAGTGCCTCATGATTCTTCATCTCAACATCACTACTATAGGCAAGTCTCTAACTTTGTTCACTGTTGAGTAAGTTCTGGTCCTGTCTAGGTCTCCCTTTCCACACACCTGAATTAAATTGCTTAAATACCTCTGCAGTAAGCAGCGTTCTCCAGGGTTCTGCTAATGAGCTGATTATGCGACTCAGGTGTGTCTAAATAAAGACATCTAGAAGATGCTGGACACTAGACCATGAGGATCAGAATTGAGGAACCCTGGTGTAAAAAGTGTACAGACAACAGCACTTGCAAGATGAAGTATTCGCATAAGAGTAGGCCTACTGTATTAATAGAAAATTCTTACAGCTTAAACAAGCCATGCAGTTCATGTAAAGCTGCAGTTACTGCTCCAACAAGCTCAAAGAAGATCACAGTTTCACTTTCTTTCCGGTTTCTATCTACTTTGAGCTGTGGCTGGAGATTACATACAGTTTGCTTCAAGATTTTAGAGAGTTTACTTTGTATTTTCCTTAGAGTGAATCTGTTTTGCTTTTTGTCTGACTCTTGATTTTCCGGTCAAATCTCTAAGTTCTTTAAACAGGGTGTCTACCTTGATCGGAACATGCAGACACATACACAGGGAATCACCAGCAGTTAGCTCACCCCCCTTCACTTCAACCAGACATAATTACTACAACTTCATAAGACCCAAAGTCTCAGTTGGATTTGCCTCCAAACTGGATCCAGTGTGCCCTCTGATTTAAAGATCGTGTTGATCCAGTGTTTTGGCAAATATTTACAACAGCGAATTATACATTATAAATCATCCTGTCAGCACAAACAGTCCAAGATATCACCAAAGAGGGTTGATGGTTCAAGAATCCATTCTGGCCATAAAGTCTTAAATGTTCTGTGATAAGGTTTAAAGTGTTTTAATGCAATGCCAGATAGAATATCAGAGATACTCTAAAGCTTTCTGAAGCTTAACAGCAACATAGAGCTGCTCCTCCTCCACCTGTAGCTATATACAGACTATCTTGCAGAAAAAAAAAACATCTACATTTTTCCTGCTTGCAATTAAGACATCTTTAGCTGTTTTGAAATAAAACTTAAAACAGAACAAAGTAAAAGGACAAATCATTCCTACTGAGGCATAATTTCTGTTTCATTAGGACTAACTTTTGGTTCTTATATAAAAGCAATTGGATGAAGCCATTTTTTTTTTTTGTTTAAATAAAGTGAAACCTTGTAATTTATACGAAGAATATGATATAAAGAGATGATAAAATGGGAATAACAAAAAAAGCTATAAATATAATTGATCTGTGGAAAGATTTTCACAAGATAAACATTTTTTCTATTAAACTAATCTGATTTAAAATGTCCTAACTGATGTGCTTACTTATATCTCTATACCTTTCACCTACAGGAGAGTATTTAATAGGTCAACCCAGACAACCAACTGCTCAATTCAGCAGATAATATAAAATCTGGATTTTTCATGTAACCCTGAGGTATTTCCAAATAAGATCCGGCTTATAGTAGAGGAGCCTTACAGATGATATACTGTATTATTATTATAAATTTATGAGGCCACATTCCAATCGATATACCTTTAGAGCAAAGTTATTGTCCAACATAAAGCAACTTTCACTTGTTTAAGGTCACAACAAAAGACTGTATATGATGAAAAATACCTATATATCAGGTATATAACTAGGTTTCTGTTGTGTAACAATTCAGACAACTTTCAGTTCTCAAAAGATCTTGGAATCCAATGATAAAAAAAAGAACTACCACTGAGATATTCAGATAAGACGACTTTATTAAAATGCATTCATCATCGTATCTTCCCTGCAGATAATTCTCTTCAGGAGAACAATCCTTGCCTCACCGGGATGCCAACACAGCCGTAAATGAAGTCGTCTCACCATGTCCTGTATGTCCTCTCCTGCGGTTTTGCCACACAGCGTAAAATCTAAGGTGTGAATTGTCAAGGGCCCCAGAGGGCAATGCTGCATAACTATGACATCAGCCCATAAAACAAGCACACATACACTGCCAAATATTTCCTGGTCTACTAGCTTTATGAGCCAAAGTGTGTCTGGCCTGTTAAGCTTTATGGTCGACAACATAGTGGATAAGTAAGATACAATATTAAAAAAAAGGTTAAGAATAACGGTTTGCAATCTGTGAACACAGAATTGGAGGTGGTGTTATTGTCCTGTTTGAGTCTTAAATGTTTGCCCTCCATTTAAATTTTCTTTTTCCAAATTAAAATATATCTACTGCTGCAATTTCAGCTCAGTTGTCTCTGCTTCTGAGGTAGAAGGTGATATAATTCAGCTGCCATACTGTATAAAAGATTTTTTTCTTCTGCTCCTGTAAGTGTAACCTCATTTTGTATGCAATCTACCTCCTGACCAAGAAATGTTTCACCCTCTGTACACAACACACACTCTGGTCTGTCAAACAATTGCTGAAGTCATGACCTTAGTGTTTATGCTGTTAGTCTAAGTATCCATCAACCTGACCAGAAGAAAAGAAAATGAATATCAGCCTGAAGATATGCAGAGGCTTCCAAAACTGTTCATATTTCTTTTTTTTATTATTTGTATTTTGTCATCTTACAACTACAAACCCTAAATGTATTTTACTGGGATGTTATGTATCAGATTAACATAAATTAATACATATTTAATATAGGAAAAGGCTCTGTAGTTTAAAAAGAAGAAGTTTTTTTTTTCTTTTAATGAGAATGTGAGGAGTGAAGTGCATTTGAATTCAGAGCCTTTTGCGTTTATACAGTACTTTCACTGCGGTTCTTTCATGGTTCTTTTATCCCAGCTTTAGGCATCTAAAGAGATAAATATTGAAAATGTTCCCTTTGCAAAAGAGCTCACATTTAAGGGCTGGTTATACTCCCCGCAGCAGTGTGTCGCAGTGAGTATTTAGATTTATGCCCAATAATTAAAGCGTGGTCTGCGATATGTAATTCCACGCAACAACGCAAGAGGGTCAATCACGAACTAGCTGTGGGTCTAGATACGGCCGAGGTGGTGAAGAAGTGGAGGCAAGTTTGTGTGACAGCAGAGGGACATGAAGGCGAAAAAGAGCGGGGATCCAGGTGGAAAAACGGTTTCGGCTTTCTCACGCACCACGCTCTTCTAGCTGGTCCATCTTTAAGAGTCGTTTTCCACAATGGCGGTCATACAAACAAAACAAGCTGGAAAAGTACCAAACAGAAAATACATATAGTGTAGAGCGGAAGTAGATTTGACCAATCAGATGCCTCCTGTCTGCGGCCCCGTCTGTGGTCACCTACAATTTTGGAGAAGTGCACCAGAGTGTCTGCGGCAGGGACACATTAGCTTTCAATGCGACACACACGCAGACGACCTGGTGTCTGAGCATAAATCAGCCTTTAGAAAGACATTTGGAAGAAATGTCCAAGTTTTGCTGTTGAATCTCACGTATATTTATGTCTGGAGTTTGACATTGGACCAAGGTTAGGGTACGCTAGACAGACATAATACATATTGATATGATTGGATCTGAACCGTTCCATTACAACAGCTTCAAACGTTGCCCCTGTCTAAAGATATCTCTAAAATGGTTTGCTATCAGGATAGCCCTTTATTAAACTCAATTTGGCCTCTCATTAGCAGTAAACAGCTTGTTTTTCAGTGCTGAAGTATCCCCACAGCATAATTCTGCCACCTCCATTCTTCTGCTGTTTCCACATAGGCCAAAAATTTTGTTTATTGTCTTTTCACACTGTCAGAAATTGTTCCAAGTTTGCTGCTGCACCCCTTTGTTTTTGTCACTCTTCAATAAAAATCTAACTGGCTGCTCGACACTAATGGCTGTTGTGTCAAGATACTCTTGCACCACTTAAGCTGTGGATCTGAGATATTCTTCCAGAGTTACAATGACTCTTTTCTGCTCTCCTTCTGCAGCTCCACCGTATTATATCCATTTTCAAAAGAGGCATAAAACAGTTCTCTGTGAGATGTTTAAAAGTCATGATTATTAGCATCCCTACCTTTTAAAAAAAAAACTTTGCCAGACTTTTTTTGTATTCCTTGGTCTTCAATATGAGCTCTAAAAGTTCTGTAAAAATTACTTTTAGGTATTCTAAGAACATGTGCATTTAGGCTTATGGGAAGTTACAAAAACATAGTCCTTCTACTAATTTCAGGACTTGTGATACCATTTGGAGTCTATTTTAATGATTATTAGAGTAGAGAGACTGAATCTGTTCCCCTGTTATTTGTAAAACATTTTAAAAACCATGCATCAGATTTTATTATCTGCAGTTGAGACAAGAGATACAAACCCCTTTCAAAAGGCACTGTTCTTGTCTTGTACACAGATGAACCACATCCCTAACAGTCTATTACACAGTAGAAAGCAAACACTGTCTATGTTCTTGTAAAATCTTGGTCTAAAACGGAGTAGAAAATAATGGCTCATAAAGTCCGTTTTAACAACTAGGTCAAGTTCTGAAGGAACAACAGCAAACAGACGTGACCCGAAAGGGTGAGACCAAGAGGGGGAGACGTGAGAGAGAACGGGGGTAACGGGGAATATCAACAACTGTGACAGCTGTGTGAATATCATGAGGCGAACCAACACAAGGAGCTTTAAGGGAAAGAATGCAGAACAGATCAGCCAGACAGCAGCTTGTGCTCAGAGCTGACATGGCAACCAGTGTCAAGGCACAATAACACAGCAGCTGCCTAATCCTAAACTTCTGCCCTGACACCCAGTTGTGAAAAGCTCCACCTGTAGTTATATATATTTTTTATATATCATCTTGAGCTCCAGGCGATTTGTATCCCTCACTGTCTTGGACTAAAATGGCATTTCACCTTTCTGCCTGAGGCAAAGCTCTTTTTATAAGAGTCAGAAGAAGCTTGAGTGTAAAAGCTGCAGTACAGTAACAGACTTATACAGACCGCTTATTGTTTGTTAGAAAATGTGTTCAAAAACTGTAAAGGTCCTTACCAGCGACAGAGTTGGGCCTTGGCATCATTAATGAAGAAGACGTCTGTGGTGGATATTGATTCAGCCCGTCCGATGTGTGACCTAAAGGCCGCTGTGTCGCCTGTGCTCCTGCTGATGTGTGGGGCTGCTGCTGTTGGTCTGTCTTCGACGGCGTGTCGGCTGGTGTTGCCGTGGCACTGCTGGACTCTTCTTCAACCACGGGAGAGCAGGTGTCAGCCCGTATGCTCTGAGCCAATCCATGGCACCCGGTGCTCCTCAGGCTGCCATCTTTACTCCACTCGAGGCTGGAGCCACTGCGGTCGTCATTCTCGGAGGAACTAGTGATGGTGGCTAAATGAAGACAGAAAACACTATTGAAGCCAGTGAGTAAGGGTAGTAGGAGAGAAAGATGCGAGATAAATTACAGCTGTGTCTTTTGTGTGATATGAACATTTATCAAGCTTAATCTTCATTGAGACACTGAGCTGTAGTGGATCTTTGAATAACTCGTTGCTTCTGCGCATTGCTCTTATCAACACAACTCAGGAGCTCATTCTGATTCGACAACGACAGTCTCCCTGTACTAATAAAAAGCAAGACACATTGTATCTCAGATTTGTTAAATTTATTTAGTGATTTAGCTCAGACTTCTTGCTTTAAATGAAACTATTCATTCAGCTTTATACAGTGAAAACAGTAATTAGGTACGACGCAGACAAAAATGAATCCACACAGATCTAGATCTGAGAACTGTTCCAGTTTAGACTAGTGCTCTGTTTAGGTGAGAACAAATCCTCCAATCCTTCAACAAAGAAAACCAAGAGAAGCATGCTCTGTGAGGCAGATATAAACATTAGACACAGACCAAGCAATCAGTTAAAAACTGAAACTGGATGACTTTCGACTGGATTTTTTCTGACTGCTGATTGGCCAGTCAGAAGGTAAACATCTGAGCCCTCCTTATTTAGTGAGCATGTCCTACTGTAACACTGTAACAGTACCAGTTCACAGTAACAAAGAGCGTTGGTGTGGACAAAGCTACAGAGGGGAGAAGGCTCATATACAACTTTTTTCTAAGTTTTTCCCCAAAATAAAGATAGGCCGCATGATTGATCAATTGACAGGACTGTTTCCTTATAGAAGGAAAATGCTGGGTCTGAATTAGGTTGTCTTTCAGTATGTGGTGGTCTTTCTAAATCCCCCTAAGCATGTGCATCCCTGTGCATGGTTGTCTTTTCCTGTGTTTCTCTGTGGGGCCCTGTGATCGTACATCACCTGCTCAGGGTGTACCCCGCTTTAAGCCAAATGACACACAAGATAGGCAACAGCAGTTGTTTAAACCTTCCAAGCTTTAATCCTTCAGTTTAAATGGCCAAGAGTATTCTTCTTTCCTTAATGTAAAATAGTTAAATCCTGTTTTTACAGTGACATGCAACTAGAGATGCACCAATAGTTTTTTCCGATCCAAACAGATACCGATACCTGGGGTGAGTGTATAGGCCAACATCTGATACCGATTCAATTGTTGAATGAATGAACCATATATCTTGCCACAGATATAAATGTACTTTATATTATTTATTAACAAATAATCAGCAAAAAGAAAGATAACGGCTCCATGTAAAGTGCCCTGGATCGGATCCCCAATATCAGATCTGACTGATGATATCCAGTCCATGTACCAGGTCAGTGTATCAGTACATTTAAGTGTTCATTTCAGGAAGGACATAAAATTCTGTATTACTATTCCTAAAGAGCAACCAAAATATACTAAAAAATCATTTCGATCAAACAGCCTGACGATCTAACTTTCAAAATCCTGCAGATAGTGTATTATTAGTGATATATCAAACACATGTGCGACTTGAAACATTCACAGAAAATCACATCCCTGTTCAGGTTTAGCTATCATCATAAACTGTGGGTTATTCTTCTCATTTTAAAATACTTTTCCTTCATTTCATTAGACATTAGGCTGAGATGTGCCTTTATGGCCATTCTATGCAACCAAAAATGGATTTTAATGCAGTGCAGAGTAAAATAATTGTGCTTTTCAATCCAGTCAGGGTGAAACTTCAAAGAACCAAGAACATTAATCACAGACAGGAATCTGACGTGCATCACAGCTTTGTTCTTCTTTCCTTCAGAACCACTTTATTAAGGTAAGGGAGAGAGATGTCTCAGCCCAGTGGTTCTGATTAATTCCCAACCCACTCTATTTGCACACAAATTAGTAAAACCCTGAATATTAATTCAGCTCGATGCCTAAGAAGAAAAACTTTTCACTCATCAGTGTTCTGAAACATTAGGTGTTGCTAATGCAGCTCCATAATGTCCTTACCTTTCACAGTTCCTTAGACTCTTAAATCTTTAGAATGCTCCTGAAATTCTGTCTTGCTTAGAATTGTGTATTCTAGGAGATGACTTTATCTTTTTTCCCCAGATACATTAAAGATAGAATCTAAAAATACCAATTCATCAAATACAAATGATTAGATCCTAAATTTCCACTTAATTTGAGACTCCTCCAATGATGGTAACATATTATGATGTTGAATGGAGGACAAAAGAAGATTTAAACCTCACAAGCTACTGATAAGAGGAAACTAGAATCAAACAAAAACCAGAAATGTCTTGAGAAAAGTGTCATGTTTCAAAACTTGAAGACTTGCTACAAAGCAGTCTCAGCAAAAATGCAAGGCTAATCCAGATGTTTTCCCAAACTGCAGATAGAGTTCTGCTTTACTACAGTCCTGGATCGATAGCTTTATCTGCTTTCAGTTACACCTAATCCATTGTCCCTAAATGAGCCCAGATTCATTCACTCTACTAACCCATCTGCTTTTTGCTCACTTTAACGTTTCTGTGATTAACAAAGTTCATAGATTGAACAGCAGTTTTTCCTGTTGATTTCCCACCGGATGCCTTCTGAAACGTGTCAGTTCTCTGGTTAGGCAGACACTTTCAGACCAACATCCTTTTTCAGATTTTCAGCAAATGTTCAATCATGATTTGCATCAGCACCTCTGGCAGGAGGATAGTATATTACAGCCTTCATAAATTATTCACTACCCCCCAATAATATTACTTTAGGGAAGGAAGAAGGATGGATTCATGGCAATCAGTTACATAAACCCTGCAGAATTAGAAATCCAAACGTCGTGTTATGAATGGCTTTGGCACGTATTGCTTTCTACTGCAAAAATATCACATTGGTACGTTTTTAAAAGCTGCAACGTTAGTGTTAGAACGAAATTAGATTCACAATTCTGTATAAACTGTAATTGATTTATTAAAGCAGACCACGCTAGAAGGAAAAAAATGGAATTAAGTGCAGATAAGTGGAAACACTTTGCTATTCAATCTACTTTAAAAAATAAATAAAAATTTGTCAATTATAATCCTACTATCTGTGGAAAGGAAGACAAATTAATGCATCAACAGAGTGCCGTCCTCCCGTCAGCTTGCATAAATCTCCTCATGTCTTTTAGGACTATTACAAGAGATCGAGCACAGCGTGCTGCCACTGTCAGCCTGACGCTGCCTCCTGCTGAAGCAGCTTCCTGCAAACCCACTGACTTGGGATGAATAACTTGTCACACAAATGCATCAAATGACAAATGACTGACACCACACAGGTACTTTTTTGAGGCTTTAGAGAGATAAGTAAAAAAAAAGTATGAGTGTGTGCTAAACATAACGTCCTTTGGTTGTTTCAAGGTTTGCCAGAGTCAGTGGTGTCTTTGAAAGTCGGTGTCCTGCAACTGTTAGATGTGTCAAACATTTGATCCAAATCAAAGTTAAAACATGAAATGAAATCTACTCTATTCAAAGAACTTTTTATTTTTATATCTTAAAAGAGATTCATAACAACTTGACCTAAAACAGGAAGAAACCTGGCCATATTTTGTGTACTATATGCTTATAACTCAGATTTGTTCATTTCCACTATATTTATTCCTTCTCTGAATCACTTCCCCTTTTAAATATTCAAACCTGTAATAGAAATACTTTCTTAATTAGACAGATTTCTGCATTCTCACAAGTTTGCCTTTAACTCTAATTAATCTCAGTGGATGGTGAGCGGGTGGGGGCTGTATCTTACCTATGATTCCACTGTCCTTGCTCTCAAGAGTGGAGCTGGGGCTGGTGATGGTCCCACAGGGGCTGGAGCGGCTGAGTGGGGGACGACTTGTCGTGCTGTTTAAAGTGGAGCATGGACTGTCTGTGCTGGGAGACGCCGTGCTGCTGGTCAGGGTGGAGCAGGGACTAATTCCCTGGCTGGTCAAAGCGCACTAAGGTAGAGAGAGACCGGAAAAAGGGTGTCAATACAACAATGATGTTCTCTAAAATGTATTATACCGAGGAAACTTTACATTAAGCTTATCGCTGGGCAAATAAAACATTTTCCAGTCTCATCTGGGAGCCAGCATTAAAAAAAGGAAGCTGGGAGACAAGGCAGATCTGATCTAACTTCAGTCACTTTAACCTGAATCATGTGAAGCCAGTGGAATAATTTCCTTAGCAAACAGGCATGGGTTTCACATGGGAGCATGACACAAGCCGAAGGGCATGAGCGCTGTAAACGGTACAAGGTTAAAATAAATTACACACCGATAGCTAAAATTCACAGAGGAAGAAGACTCCAGTCTGTTGTGCCACAATAGACACCTTTGTAAGGTCATGAAGGCTGCATGGCAACAACGCAACAGCTGATTGGAACAAAACAGAAGAGCAAACAAAATCCAATTAATCCTTGTTTTCTCCATTGCGACATTTTCCTTCCACACATTAAACGGTATGTGAAATAAGAACAGCCAAATGACTGCATGGATATCAGTCTGCAACAACTTTTTAAATCAATAAACTTCAAGGAATGAAATGTGTTTTCTTCTTCTCTGATTTACAGATGACAACACATAAACTAAGAACATTTGGTCGCACTGCTTGCTTTAGATGTACAGTTCACAGTAAATATGTTCACCTACCCTGAACTTCCCACAAGCCACATTATAACCACAAACTAAAATGTATTTAATTAGGATTTAATGCAACAGTGTAACACATAGCAAACATGGGAACTAAAAGGACTTTCGGCAACGAGAATGTGAAAATGATCTTGTAAATCCAGTTTATAGGCTGAGCCTAATCCTGCATCTAGAGACTAGAACCAATCTTAAACTTATCTAATCTCAAACAAATCTTAAAGTTTTTTGTTACCAGGTTTAAAGCCTGTCACAGATTATCAATCAGATTTAGATTTGGACATTACACATGGAATACAAAGACATTTATATACTTTTTATTGTTGCACACAAACTATATAAAGGGTTTATGTCCTGATGGTGAAGCTGCAAACTCATTCTCGGGTCTTTAAAGCCACTAAATGGTTAACCTCGATGTTTGCCCTGTATTAAGCTTCATTGATTAAGAATCGTCCTTGAAAGCATCTTTCTTCCCCGCCTGACCTAGAGAAGAGCATCACTCTAAGTATGATTCTGCCACCACCATGCTTCATAGTGGGGATAGGAAGTGTTCAGGTTTATGTACGGTATAGTGTTTGGCCTGCAGGCCAAATAGTTTAATACTACTCTGATCTGACCAAACTTCCAACCAGAATTCTTAGTTTTCTGTAAACAATGATTTCCTTCTTCCCTCTTTATTATTCAGGTTAGATTTGTGGAGCGCACAGCTAATAGTTGAGCTGTTGATAGATTCCTCCATCTGAGCTGAGGACCTCTGCAGGTTCATCTTGTTACAAAGGCTGATTATGTAGTCAATGCTCTGCTTTGTTTTGTTTTGGGTTTTTTTAGATGATGACAGCGCTGTGTGAGATCTTGCTTTAAAATTCTCCACACTTTCCACCTGTTTCAGGAGTTCATTGTGCTGTTTTTGAAGGTAAGTTGAAAGGTGAAGTCCAAGATCGTAACATTTCTGCAAGGCCCACTAGATTGCATGCATCAATTAATGTTTATATTGCTAAGCTGGCTTATCTTCCTTAAGGCAACAAATTAAAACTCCAGGTCAAATAGGCCTCCTGCCATATAAAAATGCATATTTGCTGATGTTATGCATCCTGAGGGACTTTAATTGATTTTCTCTCATAATGCATCTTTAACATATTCAGAACTGTGCATTCTTTGAGACAAACTACCATTTCAAACCATTCAGGGAACGGTTCATACAATTTAATCAATAAAATCCTGACCTTACATGTATTTGGCTTCATATGCTGCAATATAAAAAAAAAAAAAAGATATTTTTTGCTGAAAAAAAATGTTCAACTGAATTTTCTTTATGTCGCTTGAACATTTTATTTTAAATGGAAGAACCAGAACAGTAAGACTAATAAATATCAGTGACAGCATGACTACCAACTTGTAGAGCAGTAACTTTAACTATGTGGCATTCTTTCTTTTTACAGCCCTCCTTTCTGTAAACAAACACCACAGTAAGAGACAGAGACCAAACTGAGATTTTATAATTAGCTCTGAGGCAATACTAAAACATGCTGTGTTACAGACATGCAGTAAAACGTCACAGGGGAAAATAGAACTGCTTACAGATGACAGATGATATACAAAACAACGTACATCAAAATGTCTAAAGCTTAAGCAATTCTGGCTGCCCGATGAAATCTACTGTAATGACTTTGGTTCTTAAAACACTTTCTTAGCCTCTCAAAGATTCCTAAAACTGCAATTTTATCATCAAAACATGTCCTTGGACATGAGATGGATGGGGAAACAGCAGCATGCTGGGCTCCGCTTCCTACAAAGTCCCAGCTTAATTAACGGAGCCAAACAAACTGAAGCTCAGACCTAACATAACTATTTCTGGACACGAGCTCAGATACTCTTGTTACATACTCCAGAGCTGACCCTGAAATAGCACTTAAGTTACAGCACGACACTGAGGAACACGCAATTAAAAGTACATGTGACCAATTTAAAACAACCACTTCCCTTTAAAGAAACTGAATGCTTTAAGTGAAACAGCTGGATAGTTACCATTTCTTGTTGAGGAGAAACTTGATTTCCAAAAGATACCCCCTAAAAACTCCAGAATTAAAGGAGGGGAAAAAAGAATCCATTTTCAGGGTTTGAGTGTGAACTATCATCTCCTCTGATCAGCTCCTTTCTATCGGTGTATCTGTGGGCTGCAGCAGTGGCAGCAGCTGCTGCTGGGTGAGGAAGGGAGGTAGAGGGGAGGGAGGTAGAGGGGAGGGAGGGAAAAAAATGTAATACCTTCTTTTCATTCTTGTCATCCATAGGTATGCGTGCCGTACCAGGGATCCCTTCTCCCAGTAAAAAGCCCAGCCTTGTCATCAGTTCCTGAGTGGCAGGAGAGGAGGAGCCTGGCTGTTGCTCTGCTTGCAGCTCTGGAGATGAGAGAAAACAGAAGGGGGAGAAGTGCTGTTAGCTTGGAAGATTCCCTCTCTCTCTTTTCTCTCTCTTTCTTACTCTCTTTCCTCTGGCTGGGCCACACAGGGCCACGCTGCCTGCCCTGCCCTCCTCAGCTCTGCTTTGAAATGCATTGCTGCACTCCACCAGCAGCTGCTGATGTGCTGCAGACCCGTAGAGGGCGAGGAGAGAAAACCAACACGGGAGACTGAGAAGGGGGGGAGCTGTGGCCGAGTATGTGTGTATGTGACTGTGTGTGAATACATGTGAATGTCTGGCATTGTTAAGAAAGCAGAGACTCTGCTTGTGTCCAGCAATACGCCTTGAGTGCCAATTCCAGGGCTTTCTGCTTGTTTACAGTTCTCACTCATAAAGCCTCAGAATATCAATGAGGTGGACCAATGCTTTCCCAAGCAAAGCTTCATCTAACTTTGTTTAAGCTTTTTTTTTTCTTTTTACACCTGAAGTGACAAAAATATAATAGGCAAAATATTCTACATCTTACAGGTTTCCATTGGCAGTTTTTTGAAAAACAATAAACCTAGCTGCCCACAGCCGGATTATATTTAAGCATATGAACAGGAAATTAAGTGGATTGAAAATTATTGCTAGGAGAAGGTACAAGGACCAAAGCTCGACTGTCTGCCTGTTGTACAACAAAGATGGTATAACCCGTTCTAATAGAGCCTAGTAGTTGCAATGTATCCTACAAAGCATTTTCAAATGGACAATGTTTCTGTGTCAAACATCCTTTTTTTTCTTTATTCTCCTTAAATAATATGTTTTTTTTCCTTTCTGGGATGCTTGCTGTTTGCTTTAAAAATGTATGAATTTCAGTTTTGTGGGTGCTTGCAATATTTCTCCCATCTCCCCCTTATGCCACCAAATGTCTCCACTTAGAGACAACAATTGCATTTCTATTCATTTAAGATTTTTGTTTTTTAACTGAACTTAACCTAAAAATAAACATTTAGAGTTTAAGTCTTTTGTAACATTAAATTTCATTATCCTCCACTAAATTTTTTCCTTCCACTAAACTTTTCTTTATCATGCCTGGAGCCAACTTCTTTAGCAATGGCCTTTTGTAGGGTTTAATGACAACTGCTAGACAACTGTCAATGCAGTCTTTCCCTTGATTATGTAGCTCATAACAAGGTAGTAAGATAACCTTTCTGTAATAAAACTTTTTCTTATTAAAAAAAATATATTTCGTTCATTTTCTAATAACTGGATTTGGGCTAATCTTACCTAATTAAACTGGTTCTAACCAGTTGTGTTAATTTTTGTTTACAGAAAATAAAAATGATGAACAGAGAAAGTAACATCATGATTGAAAGAAAAATTATGCATAAATAAATAACAGAGGAAGCTATTCTCTACATCCAAATATCTATTATGTGTCATTAGGGTGAGAAATCAAAGCTATTCAATGGAGTAATTTGTTGGGTTTTTTTTTTATATCAAGTCTTTGTATATTGAGAAATAGAGCAAAGAGTCTAGAGACATAAATTTATATTTTGCTTGGAATAAAATAAAATTCTGTACATTCAAATATTTATCCAAGATTGTGTATAAGCTATGATTAAAATGTTAGAAAAAACAAATGTCTCTTTGATACGTCGTACATATAGCATGCAAATGAAGTGGCAGCATTATCTCAGAGCGGGCGGAGCGTTCGATCACAGTTAGAGACTCAGAGCGAGCGCGGCACAACTGCTTATTATCCAGCTCTTTCTGTCAGCACCTTCTTCTCATCTCTTTCATTTTCTCCTTTGCCCTCAGTCTTCCACAGTTATTAATAATGTTGACAGTAAATCTGATTAAATACAAACAAGTTCAATGGCGGAGTGTGTTGCCAAGCCCAAACATCATCTGAATAAAGGCAGGACATCACATATTTTCTGGCACACTAGTGGCTAGAATAATAACCTTCTCTCGTTTTTAAATCATAAATATTTAAACAGTTATTCTTATACTGAGAAGAAAGGCTGGTGGATAAATTATTCTAACAGCTACAATGAGAAAAAAAACAAGATTAAGGCTTCCCTTCTAATGCTATTTTTGACCTTCTAATGCTATTTTTGTATTAAAAACTGTGAAGTTTGCTGAAATAATTTCTTAGAGATATACTAATAACGAGTGTAGTTGTGAACAGGAAACTTGATTAACAGAGGCCAGGGGAGACCCAAACTGAAAAAAATATGTAATAAAAATGTCACCACAAGTAACATTATGCCAAAAGCTGATGTGTTTCTTTTAGTACTACATTTTTTTTATATATATAATTGAGGTAGAATTTAAAATATGCCCACTTATTATAATGATTTAGTCCCACAGTTCAAAGGCAAATGACTTATGTAGGAATCCCGATCCACTTCAGATTTATTGCATCAATAGCACAACATTTTAGCATCAACACCTTCCTTAATTTTATCCTTAAGCATCTTAATGTAATTTAGGTCTTAATTTAAGATAAATCTTCAAATAATTTTTTTCTAGGTCAATTAGAGGTAAACTCCCCAGTTTGGATTATTATTGTTGTCTTGTTTTTTTCATAATTTTAGCTGCACCTTATGCAGTTCTTACACTAACATAAAGGTAAAAAAAAGAAACTTTAAATAAATAAAGAAAAATAAACAACAGACCAGTTAGATTAATATAATATCGTGCACAGCCTATAAATCATAAAAATGACACTAGGGCTGAAACAACTAATCAGAATAATCGTGATTAATAGATTATAGAAATAATCATCAACTAATTTAGTAATAGATTAATCGCTAATTGCAGTAGAGATTCTAAAACATTCCTTTAGCTGACAGTGCAACCGCTTAGAGCAGCAATTGTACCAAAATTGTAAAAACATATATTAAAATTTTGCATGTAAGATTTAAGAAAAAAATTGCCTGTCAATATGTTCTATCCAGAACACTAGAAGTGGAAAAGTTGAGATTCATCTGGTTTAATTTTGTAAAAAGTCCTTTTTAATTAATTATTGGCTATCTGATTATTAATCGATTAATCAAGGGGGAAAAAAATTGAAAGATTAATCGATTTGCAAAATAATCGTTAGCTGCAGCCCTAAATGACAAGTCTGCTCGCTGAAGGCACAGCTATGAGAGGATGCAGCTAACGTAAAATCCCATAGAATACACCAGTCACAGACATCTTAATCTTTCCTTATATTGGGATTTTTACAGTGATTATCAAAAATGTACACTACTTTGGATTGGGACAACTTAAATGTTCAACAGCCACAATGTATCAGCTTTTTTTCTTTTTCAGAAACGAACTCAATCCTAGAAAAAAAAAACAAAAAAAAAAAACAATTCACATGTATTAATAATTGCTTGGATTTGCAACATACACAACAGTTAAAAATACAACCGCTACTACTTGTGGTAGCAGTTGACAGAGTTGCCCCTCGGGGAGGCAGAAATAAAATAGTAATATTAATTAGTCAATTTCCCCATTTCTATAACAATCTGACCATTAGAAGAATTTCCCTCATTTAGATCTTAAGAAACAGAACTTACATGTTAATATTATCGTTTAATAACGGCGTCAGCAAATCTTGGGTAAAAATATTTTGTTCACAAAAAACTGCAAATTAAGTTTTAAGAAATTCCTCTCCTAGCTTCTTTTAACCCAAAGCTGATGCAACTCTTTCATCAATAGTTGTTAAAGGTAGGAAACTGAGGGAACTCTGAGGAGCAATCATAAGAAACCAGGGATCCCTCAGAGGTGGGAGAAAGTTTGACAGTATGGTACACACAGCACATACAGCTCAAATAAACCTTCTGCTCCATGGCCACATCAATTACATCTACAGCTGATGGAAACTTTGGAAATCAATACAAATACACAGCTAGACATAAACCTTTACATTTAGCCTTCAGTGTTATCGTAACAGAATGGAAACAGTTTTAGCTTCGTTTATCGTAAGGCAATAGATAATAACACCACTTAGGCTTGCTTGTGAACTACTTTGAAACGTTAAATGTAGAGTGTGTGATTTACTATTCATTGTTTATGTATAGCATATAAATCAAGACAGGGATTCTGTAGTAAAAGTTAAGAGGCTATATGTGAGACAAGTTTATTTTAGAAGATTTTATGTGACATATTTGTTTCCCTTACTGTAAAAGCCAAATGCTTGAAACTATCAACAATATAAGTGCCAATAAAACTGTACATATGGCCAACAAATAAAAAAATAAAGCGACACCCCCCTTTTTTTCTGCATGAAATTGGACAAAATCTGTTATAACAAAACTATTTTTCTTTCTTGCCTGAAAGAAGATGGCGTCTTCAGCCTGAATTGATATTTATTACTTCTGCATAACACTGATGAACAACATGCCAGAACTGAAAACTAATCAGAACAAATTTGATTGAGACTGGAGTTTGCTTCCATTATTTCCAAATACATTTCCTACTAAAGCAATCCTTTGGGTGTGTTATGTGTAAAGATAATCATAAAACACAATATTAGAAACTGAATAAGACATATAAGTCTAAATATGGATATGAATTAATAATAACCTTATCATAACAATTTTATACATTTTAATTAATCGCTTCTCACATTTAACTCGTACCTTGGGGACCAGTGTGCTGAACACTGCAGTGCTTGGGCACCATTCTAGGGGCTAAGAAAGTTGCTAAGGGACCATGATTGGCAGTAAGTGAAATTCATTTATTTTTACCTCTCATGCCATTATCAAAATGAGAGCCAATCTGATACAGAATATCTGGTTGATCATTTTAAAATAGGTTACACATTGGTGTATGCTGCTTAGGGCAAACTATTTTCAACAAATATCTTAAAATCCAGAATTTAGATTCAGAATTAAAAACGCTTAAACACCAAAACTTGGATGCTGATCGAGATGCTTTGAATGTATTATAACACATTAAAGCCCTAAGCAAAAAGCTTCCTGGAGTCTGAAAAAGTGGGGAGAGCAGCCTGTACCCA